CAAACTGAAAATAGTCGATTTAAAGAAAATTAAAGATGAACGCATATTACATGAAATTCAATTGGGAAATTAAAATCGTAACTGTACAAATAATGTTATGGGCCGCTATAAATACTTAAAAATATAAATGCAACAGCATTACAACTGTAGAGTTAATGGTACATTGTTTCTACCATAAAAGAGGATGCTCTCAGAAACCACAATAGTTTCACGTAAGAGCCAGATTAGACAGCAATGCTCCATTTAAAACCAAGGTAATTAACTGATTCACTCTTATATATATTATGTTGTGCTTATAATATTAAATTGTTTATGAGTTGGTTAAACTATAAATTATTAACAGTTTATGTTTATCCAGCATTTATATTTTATTTTATCCCACTTGTATATAATAATAAAGCAAAATTTTTCTCTTCTGACCCTTTTACTGTTTTTAATGTCGAAACATATCTCAGTTCAATCAGAAAAAAATTGAGATGGAGTGGTAATTTTTAAGGCTAATAAATCAAAATTAAGAGTAATTTTTTTTCTGTATAAATGTTTTTAATAATCGATTTTAATAATTTGTGTACTCGAGGAATAGGTAACTTTGGTTTTGCATCAAAGTGGTCTTTCTGTTTGAACCGACGATTTTTTTATTATTGTAGCATAGATTTCACTATGTTGGTTTGAAAGACCTCTAATTTTAATACGTTAGTTTACCACTAATTATAATTTCATAAATCAATATCATATTTGTTATATTACTAGTTAAACTAAACAGGAATTTGTTTATTAAACACAAGGCTAGACAGTGGGTTATCCAAACCAAGTTTTTAGCATTATAAGCTTTCAGACTTTCCGCTGAACCACTGAGAGGGAGTCTAAAAAAGATACAAAATAAGATACGATTAAATTACGAAATATTTTATATAATATGCCTGTTTAGATCTTTAAATTATTTTGGAATATAAATAGTTTGTATTATTGCAATTTAATTAATGTAGCTCGAATTTAACAATAATATGTATAATTCTTTTATATATTTAAATAAATTCTGATAAATGATTACAGGACAATTAACGAATTGGATTTATTTCAACCTGTCTTTTAGTTACAACACAAAAAGGCGCATTCAAGTATCATTACGTGGTATAACGTAATTAGTAAGTTTCGTTATTAAATATTTAATAAACATACTGAACTTTGTATCTAATTTGTTTCAATTTCTGTGTATAATAGAACATCAATTACGCCTTTTATTATTTCAGGATAAAATCAAAAGCTTTATATATACAGTGCACCCATTTATCTGTAAAGATTAAATAAGGCATGAAAATGGCTTTACTGAGCCTAAAATAAAATTATTTAGTAGATGCCCTGTTTCCCCTACTTTTAAGTAGTCCTTAGCTTCAGAATTCCAGGTACGGTTTAAACATGTTTTTTTCAAAAATATAATTAAAAGAAAAATAACAAACATTATTTTAAGAGTTACTGATTTTTTTCACTAGTCCAAATAAAAGCTCTAAATGTATTGTTTTCTTATATTACCATATTACTAAGCTATAATATCACCCTCTTAGGCCATATAACATCAGTCGTGGGTTTAATTAAAAATGTATAGTTGTGCTTTAACCCTACAAACAAATGGGATATGAAAACCCCATTAGGTTTGTGAAGACATTTTTCTCAATTATTTAAACACCAAATTATTTATGGGTTCCTACTTTTCTCGGTTACGAGGTTTATAATAACAAATAAAGTCACACAAATAAAATGTAAACAAACATACAATCAACATTGCAATAAACCCCACTAATTATTGCCAAGGAACCTTAGGTATTTTATTTAGGAAATCAGATATTTTATCCATTTGTTTTAGTCATGTCTTTACCCTGAGTGTTGTTACAGGAAGAAACATCAAATCACTCAATACGATGCAATATATGGACCCCACTGATAGTGAGCTATATACACAAATCATTAATTCAAGAGTTTATGTTGACATTAGGAATGTATTTTAATGTAGACACTTCTGAATGAGACAGTTCTTGGTGATCAGAGTTCGGGAAGCTGGAAGTTTTCGTCATAGACAAACAAACAAACATACAGACACAATACCGCTTTATAGTATAAATTACGTTGACTATTGCATTAAGTCTAACATGTAATCATTAAACTTTAAATACCATTATGGAAACACTAGTTAATTAGCTATAGTAATTAAGATAACAACTAATTACTTATATTGCTAATTAACGGGAGTTCCTTACTTAAATAATAAAAAAATTCCTTGTATTATCCTGTTATTTAGTTAAGTAGTCCAATTTCGAGTTACCTCCTTTTACTCGTCGACAGATAACTTCAAATACACGTAACATATTAAGTGTACTAAACAATGGAAAATACAATGTTAATGCCTTACTAAATCTTCCATCAACACTCTTTATCCCTATCTTTAAACAATACTTTAAACATACTTTCAAATGTTTTTGAGTATGCCACAGAGGGGTTCTAAATCCTTTATTTTTTATTTTTTTACATGAATTTGGAAGATATTTCAATTTCCCCTCAGATGTAGTCATCCTTCCCGAAAGCATCACTTGCTGGAGCACTTTCTAGACCACTGTTTGCCAGTGGACTGTGACAAAACATTTTATGCAGACATTTCCATATGTGGAGCTCTGAAAGTTGCAGACATTCAGGGAAGACAAAAATACCAAACAAATGACTTACAGTAAAGATGAGCATCAGCCCAGATCTTGTCTTGAGACGGGCATTAGTGCTCAGAGAATGTCAGGAGGATGTGACCGTAAAAACAGTATTCAGCCATCCAGTTAGTTCTATACCATTGTCACTCTTCCATGATGATGACACAATGTAGAAAGCCTCAAACATTGGCCTTGGTCTATGTATTAGGATTTGGTTTTCAAGTTTACAGATATCACTCTATTTGGCAAGGGTTAAATGCATATATTACAGAAGCCATACGAGTCATTCAGTCAATTGATGGAAACAAATACCACATATTTGGTAAGCTGCCCAGAATTTCCTGCATTATCTTCTGTTATGATTCAGGTTTTTCAACAAACTAGTGGAAGTGTTTGACAGATATGAGAACATTTCTGTTAAATATGAAGCGAAGGAGTATAAGAAATGCTGTAGCTACTGGTCAAGAAAAATATACCAGACCATTGAAAGGATCAATGCCACTGACAACATACACGACTTAGATGATCTCTATGGTAAAAACCTAACTGAACATCTATAACAGCAAAATCATGAATAATCCTTCAAAAATGTGTATTTGATTGTCTGTCTTGCAGATGCAGTTGATCATGATAGATTGCAATCTGTCCCAGATCAAGATGAAGCAAACACTAGAATGATTCTACATATTATGTATGCAGACAAAGGTTTCTCAACTGGTAGCATAAAGAAACGAATTATCATTAGATCCCAATACTGGTGTTTTTATGTTGGTTTTGTACTACTTTTCACAAATGATTATCCCAAAAGAACTATAAATCCAAAAATAAACTACAACAACAACAAGCATAAATATGCGTCGATATATCCCAGGATATGAAATCTCCAAAAAGATGCCCGCTGCACATAAATTTTCTAAATGTGATACCACACATATACTGTGTCACATTGGGAAGAAAACTATAAGAAAAGTTAGATTATGCTGACTTAGAGAGTCTTTGAAGTAATAACAAGGCAGGAGCCACAATAGCAGCAAGAAAATTAGTAGCAAATCTGTACGATATGAAAGATATAGAAATTAATAGAGATCTGAACAAACTGAAAATTAGATTGTCTATGAAAATTTCCATCATTTCACAGTTACCACCATGTCAAGACAGCTTTTAGCAACATTAAGAGAGGTCTACATGGCAGACAGAAGGGTCAATGTCTTCACATATCCCCTACCAAGCCCTTGGTTCAGCATTAGATCATGGGTAGAAAATATACACTGTCTCTGTAGCCGTCATGTTGAACCTATGACCTCTGAGCTGCAGCAGCTCAAGATCTGTATTTGTATTGGAAGAAATGCATGCCAGAAAATTTCCATGTGCCACAATAATAATTTACCTTGCACTGAAATGTGTGGATGCTATGCCTCTAAACAATATAGAAACAAAACTGACACAACATAATGTACTCAACAGTGATGATGAACTAGAGGATGGTATTAACAGAGGAATGTCATTTAACTGCACATAAGATAACATATCTGTTTCTGCATTGTATCAGTGAAACTGACACAACATAATGTACTCAACAGTGATGATGAACTAGAGGATGGTATTAACAGAGGAATGTCATTTAACTGCACATAAGATAACATATCTGTTTCTGCATTGTATCAGTGAAACTGACACAACATAATGTACTCAACAGTGATGATGAACTAGAGGATGGTATTAACAGAGGAATGTCATTTAACTGCACATAAGATAACATATCTGTTTCTGCATTGTATCAGTGAAACTGACACA